AAATTATAGCTGGTGGCTAAGAAAATAATCAGTCCATTTAAATAATGTATTTAACAATATGTTCTCAAATCATGCATTAGAACCATTTTCAATAATTTAAAAATGGATCATTCTGCACAGCTATAGATAGGGAGGGAGAACTTGTGAAAATTACCTTCCCACCCTTTTATGAGGTGGGGGGAGGCTCTGCTCAGTTGTCTATGCTCTGGTAACCTCTAATTACTGCAACATGTTATACATGCAGCTGCCTCTGAAGATGATTTGGAAACTACAGCTGGTGAAGAAATCTGCGGCCAGGTTGATCACTGGGGTAGGATGGTTTGAGCACATAATACCAACCCTGGCCTAACTGTACAGGTTGCTGATTAGTTTCCAGGCCCAATTCAAAGTTCTGTTTTTGACCCATAAAGCCTTAAACAGCCCAGGGCTGCAATAACTCAAGGATTCCCTCTCCCTGTATGAATCAACCCTATGATCATAATCTGAAGCCCTTTTTCATGTGCCTCCTCTATGAGAGGTCTGGATGATGGCAATATGAGAATGGGCCTTTTCTGCAGTGGCTTCCTGTTTGTGGAATGTTCTCCCCGGTCAACTCACCTGGCACCTTTGTTACATCTCTTTAGCCAAAAATGTTCTTCTATAACCAGGTCTTTGGCTGATAAACAATAAATGGCCTTTTAAATGTGTTTGTGGGAGGGGCATTTTTTTAAATTTTTATTTTTACTATGTATTTTGTGTTCTCATTTTGAATTTGTATGTTGTGAACTGCCCTGTGATCTTTGAAGTGTGGTATATAACAACAACAACAACAACAACAACAACAACAACAACAACAACAACAACAACAGTATAGGCATGCTTATATTCTTATTTCTCTTTCTTCTGCAGACGTACTTACTCAACCACAGACAAATATCCAGTTCTTAGCAAAGTACCATCACAATGTATCTTACATTGGCAATAGTTCTTTCAATTACTAACATAAAAGATATTTAAACTTTCTGAAAGGTGCCAAAAAGCACTTCTGCCCCTTATGATAGATGCATAAAGTCAATCACACACAGTGGCTTTGTGCTAGGATGAATCACTGGTAGGCATGTATGGATTGAGCATTATTGCTGCATTAAGGCAATGTGCTTAGTAAGACATTTGAACTTCTGCACCTGCCTCATACAGTGCCACCACCATGTATAAATGCTTTTTGGTGGACTTCATGTGACTGCTGCAAGGTCTTTAATGTCTCCATTTGGAAAAAGTATTCCATACATGAGGATGAGCTTGAAGGTACAACATGACCTGCTGAATTGGTGTACCAGTAACAATTGTACATAGGAGGGGATTTTGGTCAGGACAACTTGCCATACAAAGCTGCAACTGCTGAAATTCCCACTTCTACTCGGAAGCACACCAGCTCTGTATTATATGACATTAGACTCTTTACACTGAAAATGATACTTCATGAGAAAAACATATGTTAAGCATCATGAGAAAACATATGTTAAGATTAGCCAATAAGGCACTGGATCGAGACTGGCATTCTGGGAATGGAAGAAGCTTAGCATTTGGAGCTGGCTGCTTGCCATCTGCCTTGGGATTGGCTGGAGGAAATCAGATGCTTGAAATGGATTTCTAATTGATGCTGGAACACTTACCTGGCAGCACAGCTGACTAGATAAGCGTCAGCCTTGCCTCAAAGCAACGGAGGCTGCCATCAAAAGAACTGCTGTCTGCCCACTGGCATCAGACTAGCTTCAAGAATATTGTACCGGCCTTGCAGTAAGATTAATCCTTTATACACTGTAATGCTAGCTTGGAGCAGCAGTTACTTTAGCAGCTAGCTATTCATGCCCTGTAAGGATTACACACTAGTGGCTGCTAAATTGTACCATTTTTATCTATGCTTATAGTGCTTATGTATGCATGCATATTCTCAATGTGTGGTTTCATACTAAATCAGTTGACTTGCATCATCTCCAGCATCATCATCAATTTTTATCTGTTAATCTTCATTCACTGTTGGGATAGCTCAGTTGGTAAAGCATCAGACTCTGAATCTCAGGGTTGTGGGTTTGAGCCCAACATTGGGCAAAAAATTCCTGCATTGCAGAGGGTTGGACTAGCTGACCCTTGTAGTCTTTTCCAACTCTACAATTCTATGATTCTACGACTATGGATGTGGCCATTTTACTACAATTGTACAGAAGTGCCATCCATAATTAAAATGGTGGGTGGGTGTTTGGGTGTGTGTGTGTGAGTGAAGTGGACTGCAAGTGTTAATATGATTTATAATCAAAAAAGTTAAAATATAGCAATTTCAGGGTGTGTTAGCATTCTCCTGCATCTCTTGAATAGAGTTATTCAATCTAGTTTGTTAAGAAAATTCCCAAACTCGGATCCACGGGCGACTCTGGGTCATTTCTCTAAGGTTGTCTATCTTGAGGTTTTTATGTGTTTATATGCCTATCACATTTTTAAACTTAAAATCCATTGTTGTATATTGATTCAAATGTTTGTTTTGCTATTGGGATTGTAGTTCCATTTGTGTTTCACAAGCTGGTCTCTCACCGTAATAAATTTCATGTTCATGAGTCATGAGTGTCTACAGCCCACAACAACTAAAGGGCTCCCTCCCACCAAAGAGACATTCTGTAATAGGCACAATACTTTGCACAACACCATATTGGCTCTAGCAGTATATGTGCTGCCTTCAGTATGCTTGGTTTTAGAAATGGATGAGGAGTATGTGGGAAGGAGAGTGGTGATGAGCTATCCACGTTGCTTTTTACTCACCGCTTCTCCTTTGCTTTGCATAGTTTGCAATCACGGAAACAGCAAATAAACAAATGTAGCACTATAATAGTAAACTCAAAAGTTTTCTGACAGCCAGATCAGGCCTACTGAGCAAACTATCAGAGGCAACTCAAGGTTTGTAAAAGTACCAAAAGTATTAAGGGGAAACATCTGAGCCCATCCTGCAAAGAACACACTGAGGTCTGAGGATATTCAGTGACCAAAGAATGCTGAATATCTGTCAAGAAACCACCCCTTAAAACTGCAGGGGAGGAAAATGGAATGGAGTATCCCAGGCTTCCTCAAATTTGCCCCTCCAGATGTTTTGAGACTACAATTCCCATCATCCCTGACCACTGGTCCTGCTAGCTAGGGATCATGGGAGTTGTAGGCCAAAAACATCTGGAGGGCCAAGTTTGAGGAAGCCTGGAATATCCTGAAAAGGAGCATGGTTGGCTGGCTTGGACCATGAATAGGAGCACTCTACAATGCAACATTTTGTCACAGGCACTACTTGTCCTGTGTGTGTTTGCAACATTTCTGTACTACTTCTCAAAAAGTCTCCTGCATGGTTTACATTAAGTGTAACAGCAACAGGTATGTTGAGGTATCATATTGTTTCTATTTGCCACCAGTATTATGTAAGGAAAATTCAATGTCCACCAAAGAGAAGCACAAAATTAGGGGAAGACTGCATGCAAAAAAATGTGTAATAACATTCTGAGTGTGATATACTCCTACGTTGTGAACTGACAGTGCCCCAACTATCATTGTTCCAAAAGACTTCAGGCATCCCCTACACTCTTCAACAGATGCCAATGCAGTATCACTTAGGAGAGCAGTCATAATAGCTCCCAGAAGCCAGAAACCCATGGTACCATGTGTTGGTTGGCGGCCACTATGACTGCTCTGGCCAACTAGAAGTAACATTGCCACTTACTGCATTGCCTAGGAGTTCATTTCTTTGCATGTGGACCACAAGGAATCACATAACCACCAAAGAGCAGTGGATTAAACTCAGGGCTCTAAAATTTGGGGGAAAGGCCCTTCGCAGGGAAACAGACACACAAAATCTAACTACTGACATTGATGCACAAAGTTGTGTTTTCAGAACTGTGTTTGTGAAGTGGTTGTCAGCGTGACATGATTTTGCACGTTTTAAAAAAGAGAAAAGTATAAATTCCTAATCCCCAATCAAGAGATGTAATTCCTCTTGTCCTTAGGGGATACAAGTAAGGATTATTTTTAGGTTAATACTGATTTCTCATTAGAATGAAGCTGTGATGCCCCAGCTGCACTAAAATGATTGACTTTTGTTTACTGCAACAAACAACTTTGGTTAGAAGATGACAAAATTAGGAGAAAGACTTTAGAAAATTTAAATGTAGCTAATCAAACAGATGATGTTTGGAGGTTGTTTTTTTTAAAAAAATAAAAATAAAATGTAAATAATCTTGCAAAGTATTCTCTTCACTTGTATTTCTGGTCTTGCTAGAATAGCAACTGTAAATTACATTTTAAGTTATCCTTCTTCCAATAATCTCAGTCCCCCCCCCCACAACATCCTCACTGTGGGATATTTTAAGCTGAGAGATGGTGATCTGGCCACAACTTGCCAGGAGCCAGATCTCACACAACTGGCAGAGTAAACCCTTTGGGGGGGTATAGATGTACCAGTTCTAGAATGGTACCATGACTGGGGAGATCCAGCTTCAAATTCCCTAAGATATCTTTGGCAAGTCACTCTTCCACAACCTCATCTTCCTCACATGTGCGCCACCCTAAGTATTTTGGAATGGGATCCAAGTGAATGAAGAAATCAAAGCAGCTAGAAAAAGACCCTCAAAGTAATTGATAATAATATGGAGAAGTAGATCCTGTTAAAGCTTTTACAACTTACAACACTATAATAATAATAATAATAATAAATCAGCTGCTAAATAATGCAATTGATACAGGTTTTATTTTGGCAATTTAAGTGGCTATTGGCTATTTCTAACTGATCTTAATTCTTCATGTGATTCTGATTCTACATAACATAGGAATGTGATATATATATATATATATATATATATATATATATATATATATTCCAAAGAGATTCCTGCAGATATTGCTTTGCCAGGCCTAATGCAAAAGAATAAGAAAAAGGAAGGTATCCCAGTGTGTAAAGGAGGAAGTTAAATACTAATTTACTCTAAACATCCCACCTGAACGCATGGCATCTTTTTGAATACTTTCATAGTCATGCCAGTCCTTTCTTTTCAAGCCATCTGTCCAGGTATAGAGCTGTCCATCTCCAAGCCCCATTGGGAATGTCTGTAGAAACAGGGGGGAAAAGGTATAATTAAATGTTGCCTTCTCTACTGAAACCCAAACTCATTCATAGGCAAAGGCAGATAGCAGTCAGGTTCCCCGTATGGATCTGCAACATGCATATGCAGGATGACTTTCACATTCACTTTAAGCGTTGCCCTGAAAAAGTGGGACTTCATCCAGGTAGAGATTTGCTAGGCTTCCTCTACTTATCTTTAGCTGCTTAGTAAATATCTTATTAGTCTAGCAAGCTTTAAGAACAATCTGCTGCTTAGTAATTTATCTTAAGATCAGCTATTCACAGTTTTCCCTCTTTGTTTTTATAGTATTGTGCTGTTACCTTTGTTTAAATTGTTGCCATTTTTCGTATTCCATATGATTTTTTTATGTTATCTTTTTCTGTGATGTTTTGCCTTTTTAAACTAAACAAAAACAGAGAAGGCAGGTGAATTCACACTTTAAAATCTAGTTTAAGACAGTGGATAGACCTTGTTGTGTGTTGGAGAAATCGAGATTCAAATCAAATGGCTATAGTGTTGTGATGCTTAGATGACAAGGTGTTCAAATGATATGAGAAAGAAGGCCCCACTGAAGGATTTCCCCAATTTTAGTCAAATCATCCCCTCCCCCCCAGCTACAATGTGGCCTTCTAAAAAGTGTGGCTAAGGGACCCATCACAAAAAGTAGGGAGAATGACCAGGCTGCCTATGGTCCTTTGTAGTTTAAGCACTGGTCTCTGGCAAATCACTAAGTCTTAACCTGAGGTACCTCACAGGAATATTGTACAAATAAATAAGAGAGTCCAATGTACTCTACTCTAAGGCCCTTGGAGGAAAGTAAAAGATGACAAACAGATACATATTTCCAGAGAACTAAACAAGAAACTCATTTCAGGCAGGTCAGTAAGTATCATTTGTGGGTTCAGTATATGTGGAGGCCTGGAATCAGCACCCAGAATAGCAGAGCAAATGCCAGGGTCTACCATGACTGAGACTGGCTTCCCTTTTAAAAAAATCAAACAACCCCCCCTCCATTTTTGTGTCCCGTGTTTTAAAGGGACGTGCTGAGTAAGGTGACTGCAGCTTTTACCAACTTCATTATCTCCAGTGCCTTGGGGCCCTGCCTACAACATGGCCACATTCACGCCATACATTTAATGCACTATTATACCACTTTAAGCAGTCATGGCTTTAAGCAGAATTCTGTTAAGGAAGCTCAGGCCCTCCAGTCCATACCCTCCAACATGTTGAGATTAAAAACCAGGATGTGTTTTTCCCCAACTGCGCTCATGCACAAGTCACATGACATGCGTGGTCTCACATTTCCCCCCAAAATGCGCATTTTTAGGTGCCATGCTGAGAGCACGGCAGCCCAAAACAGGATGTCCTGATTTAATTGGGGTAGTTGAGGTGTATACCAGACCCTGGGCTGAAGGGACATTCTTTCACCTCTGGTGGACTTGCCCAAATGTGAAGGTCTTCTGGGAAATGATTTACAATGAGTTAAAAAAGGTGTTTAAATACACCTTTCCTAAGAAACCAGAGGCCTTTCTCCTGGGCATTGTCGGCCAGAAGGTGCTAAAGAAGGACAGAACTTTTTATATGTATGCAACAACAGCAGCAAGAATACTAATTGCAAAATATTGGAAGACACAAGATTTGCCCACACTGGAAGAGTGGCAGACGCAGTTGATGGACTACATGGAATTGGCCGAAATGACTGGCAGAATCCGAGATTTTGGAGAAGAAACAATTGAAGAGGATTGGAAAAAATTTAAAGACTATCTACAAAAATACTATAAGTTATATGAATGTTAAGAGTTTGCATGATTTAGAAAATTTAGCTTCAGCAACAAGACTCGGTGATATGGAAACGAAGTTATAATTATGAAAGGACTAATGTTTAAAGTAACATCATATTTATTTTAAGATAAAGTAATCAGATAAGTATCTTAAACATAAAGTATAACTATTTGAAAGTACAAAGGAATGCATGAAACAAGGTAATAATCTGCTGATATCTTTATTGTAAAGAATGCAGGGTGAGGGAGATGTGGGGAAGTCCAGTTGGTTATGAGAAAACATTCTGGAAAGATGGTTTTCTTTTGTTTTTCTTTCTTTTTCTTTTTGTCTTTTTCTATTACTGTTATTTTTCTATGCTGACTGTATACTCTATCTGGAAAAAAGCAATAAAAATATTATTATTTTTTTTAAAAAAGAGGTGTATACCAGACCCCTCACACAGCCACAATTCTTACACCACTCAGAATTGTGTGTGTGAACCATGACTGTTCAAAATGGCATCATAGTGCTTTAAAAGTATGGTGCGATTGTGGCCTATGCTGAGAGTGAGACACTGGAGATAATGAAAATGGGGGTGTTCGCAGCTGCCTCACCAGGTGTTTCTCTTCACAGTGCTGGGGTGAGGGACTACTGGGCAGATACAGTGACACTGCTTTCCACATTGCCATCCATCCCCAATTCTTTACTGTGCCCTCTGATAAGCTTTGGGGCACCCACCTAGGACAGTATGGGGGGCACACCACACGGCACCTTGTTGAGGGCCCTCTCAAACATGGCGCCAAGCCTGATTGTGTAAGTGTGGAAGCTCCTGCATCAAGCAGTTATGACTGAACTAGGGCAGGAGAAGATTGCATTCCAGCCTGTAAAAACATCTGCACACTTCCCACAGTAGACTGAAATACTGTTGAAGTGTAATAAATTATTTAAATCAAAACAAGTAAGACTGGTGCAAAGAAATCCAGCCATATTCTATTTTATTTTGAGTGCAGTGGTACCTTGGGTTAAGAACTTAATTCGTTCTGGAGGTCCGTTCTTAAACTGAAACTGTTCTTAATCTGAGGTACCACTTTCGCTAATGTGGTCTCCTGCTGCCGCCACATGATTTATGTTCTTATCCTGAAGCAAAGTTCTTAACCTGAGGTACTATTTCTGGGTTAGCGGAGTCTGTAACCTGAAGCGTTTGTAACCTGAAGCGCCTGTAACCTGAGGAACCACTGTATTTATTTCAAATACTAAGCAACATATTCTTGAAATTGACAAGGTAAATGGCCCCATCCTTCTCCCTGGTGTGTTTGAGATAAAAATTGCCAAATTTTATAATTCCTATACTACTGTCCCACTATGGACTGTTAGTAAGAAATCTCTCGAAAGCATCAGTACTCAAACTGATCTTAAAACAATTCCAGCATTAAAAGGTCAAATCAATGTATATTGCATTGCCTATTAATTTGTTCTCTACTTTTATTCATGTTTTCATATTTTCCTTTATTCTTCCCCTCCCCCCACTTTCTGTAATTTGTTGAGTCTAGAGACTGCTGTGACCTGTGTTTCTAACCTGGAAATATGGCTGCCATGAGGTAGAAGAATCCCTGAACCTACAGAGTCCCCCTGTTGAATTGGCAGCCACAGAAGCTCAGTCTCGTGAGCCAGGGCCCCAATCCTCCATCTTCAGGGGAAAAGACTTCAGGTGTAATTTTTCAGAGGAATGGCCCTTGATATCCCTACCTCCTCCAAACCCCCATCACCAGATAGGCCCATGAGGCTTTAGCCTGAGAAGGTAGCATGACCATTCTTGGAATGAATCCAAATACCTACTCTAAGGACTAGAAATGTTGTTTTCTGAAAAATAATTTTTCAGAAAGATGGTCTCTGTGCTCAGTACAGTGGTACCTTGGGTTAAGTACTTAATTCGTTCCGGAGGTCCATTTTTAACCTGAAACTGTTCTTAACCTGAAGCACCACTTTAGCTAATGGGGCCTCCCGCTGCTGCTGCGCCGCCGGAGCACGATTTCTGTTCTCATCCTGAAGCAATGTTCTTATCCTGAAGCACTATTTCTGGGTTAGCAGAGTCTGTAACCTGAAGCGTATGTAACCTGAAGCATATGTAACCTGAAGCGTATGTAACCTGAGGTACCACTGTGTAGCATTCTGCACTCTGCCCCGCCACCCCCATAATTGTGTTTTTGTGTGTTAGTGGCAAATGCCCATCTCTTATAGTTTACCAACAGACCAGCAGGTAGCTCAGACCTCATGAACTTTGTAATGCATTTCTGACAAACTTTGACAATACATTTTTGAGTGTATGTAGTCATACTTGCATAGTTTGTCAAGGCAGCACTTTGGGGCAGAAGTCAAGGACGCTCTTCAGCCAAAAGAGTAGGGCGGCCCCAGACACAGCAATGAGTAAAGTAATATACATTGCAATCTAAATAGGGGTGGGGGACGCTGTAGGGTTATTAATTCTAAATTTGCTTAACTGTACCATTGTACTTATACTCTAAGGCTTATGCACTCATTTTACCAACCTCAACCAATTGTGACCATGTACAGATAAGGTAAAGGTAAAGGTACCCTTGCCCAAACGGGCCAGTCTTGACAGACTCTAGGGTTGTGCGCCCATCTCACTTAAGAGGCTGGATGTACAGATACATGTACAGATACCCATATCTTAAACTTTAAAGCAGGGATTATTAATCCTGTGGCTTTCCAGATGTTGTTAGACTACAATTCCCATTGGCCCCAGCCAGCATGGTCAATGGTCAGGGATGAAGACAGTTGTGGAGGGCCACAGGTAGGCATGGGAAATAAGTATGATTCAGTTGAGGAACCGACAAAATCCACACTCCCCAAAACAATACACAAACTGAAACATAGCCATCTTTCAACATTAGCACTTCTCTGAATTTTGCCATTCAGTTCTGTAGCCGAATAGTGTGTACAAAAATGCATACACTGCAATAAGGTAAAGGTAAAGGGACCCCTGATCATTAGGTCCAGTTGCGACCGACTCTGAGGTTGTGGCACTCATCTCGCTTTATTGGCCGAGGGAGCCGGCATACAGCTTCCGGGTAATGTGGCCAGCATGACTAAGCTGCTTCTGGCGAACCAGAGCAGCACACGGAAACACCATTTACCTTCCTGCCAGAGTGGTACCTATTTATCTACTTGCACTTTGATGTGCTTTTGAACTGCTAGGTTGGC